ACAGTTAAAGAGAATACAATACGCCCATATCTGCGCTGGCTGGGAATCCTTTTCGACAAAAAGCTCAGCTTTAAATATCATATCGGAGAAATGGCCTCAAAAGCTCTAAATGTAGCAAACGCACTTCGCTCTCTCAGCAATACAGTCCGAGGAATTAACCCTTTCTTCATGCGGCAAGCAATCAAGGCCTGCGTACTCTCCAAAGTCTACTATAGTACTGAAACCTGGTGGCCGGGCAGCTCCCGCCTTGATCTACACACAGGAACAATCTCAAACCGGGTCCAAGGACACCTTAACAGAGTAACTAAGGTTATACTAGCAGGGGCTAGAGCAGTCTTCCCAGTCTACCGCACAACCCTAATACCTGCTCTCTACCGGGAGTCAGGGCTCCTACCAGCAGAGATTGAGCTAGACTATATAGCTGCTGCTGCAACAGTCCGCATACGCCGTCTCGACCCCTATTACTCACTCCGCAGGAGGGCAGAAGAGACAACCCGTACAGGCCTCAAGAGAAGCCGCTTTGCACGCCGAGTACGAGCCCTGCCGAAATCAGAACAAATCAACCCTCTGCAAAATGCCCCCTGGCTTCTGCAAGAACTACGCGAAGCAGCTTAACAGCGGATCAGAGCTCCTGAAGCGGGCCAGACTAAAGAACAGGCAGCCAGCAATTTCCAGGACTTCTATGCCTCTCTCCCTCAGACAGATATAAAAGTCTTTACAGATGGCTCAAAACTAGCAGATGGAATGGCAGGCGCAGGTTTTGCCCTATATCAATCTGGGAAGCTATACTAACAGTCCTCCTTTCCTCTCGGCCCCAACAAAGAGATCTTTGATGCAGAGGCTGAAGCAGTACTAGCGGGAATCAAAGTAGCTCTCAAATTGACTACAGCTTATCTCGCTACCAACCTATGGATCTGCCTAGATAACCTAGAGGTAGTTACGCGCCTCCTTTCACCATCTACAGGTTCATCTCAAGAGGTCTTTAATACCTTCCGAGACCTCGCCTCATCCTGGTTAACACGGGAACGATATCTATATACCGGCAGTAGCTCCGTACAGATCTGCTGGATCCCTAGACACATGCAAATACCAGAAAATGAAGCAGCAGATCAAGCTGCTAAAAAGGGAGCAGGCATGCCTTTTCCTTTTGCAAGCAAACACTCGTACGCCTCACTAAGGCGGCAGACAAAGGATAACGCTATAACTGCTCTCCAGGAATACTGGCAGCTCAAGGCCCCGCAATCCTATCAGGATCTCTGGGTTACCAAATCCTCCAGATGCCCTACAGAACTAAAACTCCCGAGACACATTCTTGCACGGATCTTAGCTGCCCGCACGGGCCATGGAGATTTCGCAGCTTACCATGAACGGTTCAATCATGAAGACGCCCATCTTGTCTGCCGCTGCGGTACAAGGAAAACCCCAGTTTACTTCCTCTTCTGCTGTATCGCGAAGAGACGCCTGCCTCGACCCCCAGGCCCTCCCTCCGAGACAATCCCCTTCCTAGTAGGCACCCCAAAGGGCGCGGCCAAGTTAGCTGCCTGGCTAGCTGAAACCCGCTTCTTTGAGGATATCTGTACCCGATCTCCCTTACCTCAACCAGACTG